ACTCAATCATGCTACAACCATAACACAGCTGCAGCGTGGCTTTACCACGTAAAAATTATTACATTATAAACTAAAGTTGCATCTGGCTAGGGTGAAGAGATAGGCATGACCGATGGTTTCGTGAGCTGGAGGGACAGCAAGGACCCGCTGGCGTGCAACAGCGACGCGGCGAACTACCGGCGGGTGTCTCGGGACCCGGCGCGCACGCCCTACCAGTGGGACGCGAGTGCGCACGCCGGCTTCTCCAGCACCGGCGACACCTGGCTGCCGATGGCAGACAACTACCGCACGGTCAACCTGGCCGCACAACTTGTTGGGAAGACCCATTACACGGTCAGTGTTGCTTTTAAGAAGACAACGCGTTTGAATTTTGTTTAAATATTAATAGTTTTATTGTGGTTTGTTTTTGCATTATCTGCAGTAGACTTACTTGACTGTCTCATTGATCTAGTGGTCGTAAACGCATTTGCTAATTATGAGGTCGTTAGGTGATGGAGGTGATAATATTCTCATGGATTTCATCATCAGATTTTGCCCAAATATATATGGTACCGCTTGAGGTACCGCAGACAATATGGGAAAGAATTATCGCTGAACATACCTACATAAAAAACTATGTAATAGCGGTGTAAAAATATCCACTACCCCATAACGTCCAGTCGGTGTCGTAAGAGTCAAGAAGGGGAAACTGAAAAGAAGATGGGCAGCAGCAACTTTCTCAAAACAACTTAAAATAACAAAAAAAAACTGCAGTTGTCGTGTGATAATTATGCAACATCCCTACGAGTTCAGTAGTGAACTTTTATAGGCGGTAATGGATGGTTGGATACTTAAAAAATATTCCGACGAATTGAGAACCGAGGAAAACCATTAAATGACTCCATCACCTGAGAACTATTAACTAATCTGTGACCTGAGCGTGACGATAATACATTCAATTCAGTGTATGATTGTCCTCATCATGTCTTCGACATGTTGCGTCTAGCCAACCTTCCGTAAGCAAGGACTGTAGTTTTGATCGTTTCAGGGCGAGGCCTGTTTAGATCAGCAGATATTGTAAGAGCTCTCCTTTTTTTTATATGATAAGATTGACAAGCGAGCACACAGTCCACCTGATGGTAAGTGGTTGCTATGGCCCATAGACATCTGAGGACTAAGATGGAATGCCTCTTTTCCAGTGAAAAAGAGTCTCCGGTTCTCGACACTCACCATACGAAACACAGCAACATTAAGTGCTATTTTACGCTGGTATTCTGTGAGAGCATGGTCCTTCCCCGATCGAGCCGATCCATTTGTGGTACAACTATACAATTAATATAGCTGCAGCATGGCTCTACCACGTTTAAAGCTTGTAATGGTGAACACGATTTAACATGTAGTAGAGCTCAACAGTGGTAGAGCCACGCGGTAGCTTTTGCTGTCGCACGGATGGGCTGGCTCGAACCGGGGTGGTACCACGACCTCACAGAAAACCAGCGTGAAGTAGAGGTTTACCTCTGCGTTTCGCTTGGTGAGTGCAGGTGGCCGGAGGCCCTTTTTACTGGAAATGAGGCATTCCATCTTAGTCCTCACGGGTGACAACGCATCTGCATTTTGATTCGCAAACGAGGATAGATGTAGATGTCTATGGGCCGCAGCAACCACTTACCATCCGGTGGACTGTGTGCTCGTTTGTCACCCTTATCCTATAAAAAAAAATGTAAATTTAAGCCATGTTTTATAGAGACGATCTGTTTTATTTATTTGTATTATGTAGGAAGGTATTCGACGATGGCGATACTGTTAGATGGTCCGTAAGGAGTAATAGTGTTCTGAAGTTAGATGCCTACAGATAATTTGACAAACACGTTGTGTTACGGTTGGAGGCCGCTCTATTGTTGAGCCCCACGGACTCCGCCAATGTTATCCTCCCCTAAATCAGGCCCTGTATGGTAATGAGCCGTGGTAGCTCAGATGGTTAGCACTCGCTGTAAATTTCACAGTACGCGAGCAACTTGGGTTCGATCTCCGCCGGCACCAATGAAATTGTTAATTGCAATTTTAAGTGCTGATTTACCACGTGCTCGGCGGTGAAGAAAAACATCGTGAGGAAACCTGCATGTCGGAGAAATAAGAAAAAAAATTCGAAGACATGTGAAGTTCGTCAACACGCATTGGGGCAGCGTGGCGGACATTGCCAAGCCCTAAAACCCTCTCAGAAATGAGAAGAGGCCTGTGCCCAGCAGTGGGACGTATATAGGCTGTAACTTTAATGGTATTAATAGAGAGCCTGAAATAGGAATATATTAGAACATAGAGTATATTAGAATACAATTTTTTGTAATAGGATTTGGGGGCATGCATGTTCTCAAGTCCTATTACAAAAAGGCTTATTCCATGCAACAAGAGATACAGGCTGATGAATAATCATCTTATAAAGTTTTTAAACAATAAAATTACCTACCTAGTATAAATTATAGAACAATACAGTAACTATTTTATTCTTACAGTTTTATAAGGATCTGGCGGCTGTCAGGAAGAAACCAGCAACTCGTTATGGAGATTTAGAAACAAGAGCTTTATCGGAATCAATTTTAGTTGTCACTCGGTAAGGAAGTTTGAAATTTTTTATTGGAGCGTCCCTTGGAATTGTTTACATTGGGTCAATAATTAAGGGCTCCTTTGCACATACATCCGATTGAGATCGAGATGGTTTTATTTATTTATTTAAAAAATTTATAGCACACAAAGTGTACAATTGGCGGACTTAATGCCTAGGCATTCTCTACCAGTCCACCACAAGCTAAGCAGAACAACTTAAACATGATTTTATCATTTATGGTGATTCATTTAAGTCCAATCAGTATTCACATTTATAATTAGAAATTATATTTGATGAATTTTATATAATTTATTTTAGCTAAAACAGGAGCCGTGGTAGCTCAGAGCTGTTCTAGCTCAGGGGTTCACACTACGCGAGCAACCCGGGTTCGATCCCCGCCGGCACCAATGAGTGTTAATTGCAATTTTAAGTACTGATTTACGTGTTCGGCACTGAAGGAAAACATCGTGAGGAAACCTTCATGTCTGAAACAAAAAAAAATCGAAGACATGTACATTTTAAGTACTAATTTACCACGTGCTCGGCGGTGAAGGAAAACATCATGAGAAAACCTGCATGTCTGAGAAATAAGAAAAAAATATTTTTAAGATATACAACGTTCGCCAACATGCATTGGGGCAGCACGGCGGACATTTCCTTGCCCTAAAACCCTCTCAGCTCTCAGAAATGGGAGGAGGTTTGTGCCCAGCAGCGGGACTTATATAGGCTGTTTTTAACTATTTTAGTATATTTTTTTTATATTCCCATAATTAAATTTTTTTCAAACTATAAATATTATTCTTTGTACAGATTGTTGCCAGGCTCCCCAGGAATAATTGGTATTATAAACCTATCTCAAGATAATGAAATAGTAAATTTATCATCATTACGCCTGCTGCCCAACAAGATGCTAGTTGTCGCTTCTGGCACTGACTGCTTACTGGAAAATGGGTAGGTGCAGACATAAATTGTATAAGTACACTATATATTGACAAGGTTTTCACATTTAAAATGGTTGAAAATGTTAAATGGTAGTGTCACATGCGCAAATTACTAGAAGTGTTCCTTCTTTAAACCCCGGCAAAAACAGAGGGGTGTTATGTTTGTAGTGTGTATTTGTGTATCTGTGTCTGTCAGTGGCATCATAGCTCCTGAACGGATGAACCATTGTAATTAACTTTTTTTCGTTTTAAAGGTGTCTTAATCCAGTGTTCTTACCTTTGTTTCAAGAAAATCTATTCAGCCTTTTGAAGATTTTTTGAAAATTAAAAAAAAAATCCTTTTTTTTTTTAAATGCAATATGATGGTTAATATAGATGATGTTATGAAGTAACAAATTATCTAGCATGTAGATAGATATACCCAATACTCCCTATTTTAATTTAATACCAATTTATAATGATTTCATATGTATAATTCATACAAACATCTCCTTGGATAATACAATAACCAAGTTAATCAATTTGTACATATATCCATTAAAAGTGGCAGATTCTAAAAATACTATTTGAACATCTTCAATTAACATGATATTGTTACAAAATTTGTCATACATATGATCTCTAGTTCCAGATTGTTTAAAATTAATTTATAATTGTATATTTTAATAAAATTAACGCCAATTATTTGTTATGTAAATAATTTTATAAAAGAAACAGAAAATATTGGTAATGAATTTCTTAGCACTTACACCTGAAATACAGGGTTATCCTAGTTCAGACAAAGAAGCTTATATAGTACCTCAATATAGACTATTTAAGATTAACGAGAGCAAATATTTTAAGACAATTTATATCTATCTATCTACTACTACCATAGTCCTGCTTTAATTTTTCCTATAAATTAATGATTAAAAGCTAAGAACCCTCTAAAATTTCTATAACTGCCCAGTTATTCAGCCGTTAACAGGGGCATACTGCATGATGATTTAATAATTTTTTATAGGTATTTACAGTCCTAGCTACAGTTGGTCTCATGGTTATCTTACTTGGTTGTTCGGGCAAAGCACTACAACAATTAACATTTAAAAATCTAATCTTTTAATTTCTTGCAACCCTGAACTTATATTAAAAGACCATTGCCAAAGTAGTACTAAAATTTTAGTAATCATACTAAAATTTTATTATCCTTAATTAATAAAAACATTAATTTCTCTTTTATCAATCTTCTTTACAGAGTTTCACTATCAAAGGCTTACCTGCCAATATCTGCACACTGTGCTGTCGTCTTTGAAACCATTGAAAATTGTTGTTAATATTTAGCCTAGTTATAAAGTTAAATAAATTTTATACTAATTTATTTAGGTGAAATTATATAATAATTTATGCAATTACAATAATTTACTTGTTTACTGCAAATTGTTTTATTTTTAATTTATTAACAATAACACCCAGTCACTTCCTCCTTATGATTAATAATCTTAAAAGTCCAATGCACCTTCCAAAAAACATAAACAATCAACCTTGTTAATAACAAGATCTAAATCTTTCTTAGCTATAGTTTTTCTTTTGCTGGTAGTGGTGTATGTGTAAGTTTCTTTTGCCATAGTCTCCAAAAACAGTTCCTGAAAGAAAACGTTTGGAATTAAAGCCCTATCTAAATATTTAGGTGGTAGAGCCATGCTGCAGCTATATTAGTAGTATAGTTGTAGCACGAATGAGTTGGCTCGACCGGGGAAGGACCACGCTCTCACAGAAAGGCAGCATAAAATAGCAGCTCAATGCTTCTGTGTTTCGTATGGTGAATATAGAGAACCGGAGACCCTTTTTACTAGAAATGAGGCATCCAATCTGAGTCCTCACAGGTGACAATGCATCTGCATTTTGATTTGTAATAGAGGATAGATGTAGATGTCTATGGGCCGCAGCAACCACACAGGTGGACTGTGTGCTCATTTGTCACCCTTGTCCTATAAAATATATATATATTATACATTTGAAGTTACAAATTTGCAGCCCACATGATTGCAGGTGTCCACTATAGCCCATGGACACCCGCAGTCAACTTTAAGCAATGCTACAAAAGCATCATCATCTCTGAAGACAGATTAAATACCTCACAGGCTGTAACCATACTGGCTCTGTATACCATGATGATTTTGTTTTTATATGAATATAAGCAAAATCATAATTTTCTAATAAACATCCACTTCTGTTGGTTACTAAAGAAAAAATAAAAAATCTTTTGAATGTCTAAACGACTTTAGATTTATATGTCAAACTTATAGTAGTGTTCATAAATTACTTACTGTCGCCTTCGTCACTAAGAAGACTGCATCCGCAGAAACTATGCTCACATCGGGATCCATTTTCATTATATTCTTAATTCTAGCCATAGGCAGCTTAGTGTTTCGAACAATTTCTGGCTTATGCTGTGGTGTTTTCTTCTCTGATTCGAAATGTTCTTCGGAATTTAAATCTTCTGAGTTTTGAACAATACTGTTCTCTGAATCAATTACATCCGTATTATGGTTTTCACTACTGAAATATTGTTCAGTACCATCTATCACTTCGAATATATTGTATTCAGTTATTTCGTTATTCATTGTAAAAACTCTCGACTCATAAAAAAATTAAATGTTTTCGAAAATACCTAAAGACTAAATTTTGTACTTGCCGATTGTCATGCTTGCCTATTAGTATTATTATAAAATTTTCTATGATCTTATGTTTTGAGAATTATACAGTAATAATCTATGACTGAAAAAGAAAACTGAAAAGGCGCTACACCTACATACCCAAATCAATTCAGTATATATAAAGGTACTCTGTGAATCAATTAGGCGTGTGTATCTCTTTACGGAAACGACTCACTGATACGAATCACTGAAGTGACACAAAAGATTGGTTCAGTAACAACGTTTCAAATGTATCATTTGGATCTGGAACAGTGAAACATTACTTTGCTCTTTGCTCATTTCGCGCGACACGTCGCTCGCGATGCGACTGAGCCACGAGCGAGAGAGACAGACTGAGACAATGATTAACTTAACTATTAACTCACGAGTGGCGAGTGAGCGGGCGAAATAATTATAATCCACACAAGTCAGATAGAGATAACAAATAAGAAGTGTATCACTCAACTCGTACGGATTGTCGCTGACGTTATTCATGCACGTAAAAACTACGCTTATGTCTCACATACTATACGGTCGTTTTTTGTATGTAATGTTTGCATTAACATGTTGTCATTATACGTTGATGCGGCACTTGTCAAATTGTTTATATTCATTAGCGCCTGTTTACGAAAACATACTGAGTTATGTTTTAGGATTTCTTTGCGTAATGATTATTGTAACTTTATTCCTTTTCATCATAAAGTTTAGAGTTATGATACTTTACGAGTAAATTCTATGTACATAGACATTGCTGTTTTGTGTAAATGGACATTTTTGTAAATAATGAATGAGGGCATCCACGACTTATTCTGCCACCAGGGCGGCGCCACTTTAGAGTAAGGTAAAATATTTGACAGATTTCATAGCGGGGATGATAATTTCTTAGGAAAATGTAATCTTTAAGGTTTCTTTATGTATTATTAGTTATATTTTATATTAATTACATTAGAAATGAATAAACCAAACTATAAATATAACTAAAAGACGACTTTTTTAAAAAAAAGAGTTATAATGTGCAAAAAATTAAAAATCAAACCACTGACGCATTGTGTTGTGTATTAATATAATACTCTAGATAATGATAAACTATTATTTAAAACTAATTTCTCAATTAACTGACATTGTGTAACAAAAATTTTACCTCAGTCACAACTAGCGACATCTGGTGAGTGGAAGATTATTAGCCCTCATTGACATAGTGACATTTTTGTTAAAGTATGAAGGAGAATCGATTTTATATACAATCTTATTACGGTACGCAATAAATAATCTAAGCAGTAATAAACGCCCGCGACGCAACTTAATGTATTCAGAACATTCTTTCTTTTATATCTTTTGAGTCGATGATCCAAATGAGCCAAATGAAACATATCAGTGTTTCGGAACATTTCAGTGATCAAGATGCAAATGTTCCAATCACAAAACTGATACACTTTGCCCACCTCCAGAATCAATTACACTTTTTTCTATCTTGCTACATATATATTTATCTATGCTTTTTTCACTAATCAGCTGTCAATGTCACTTAGCGATGAGTGTTGATATCAACCGTTGATCTCTTCCACGAACTACTTGAATCAACCGTTGATCTCCTTAACTGTTTATGAATCAACTAGTTGAATTCATCAACGACGCTTATGAATTTAACTCGTGCATCTCGTTGAATAATCGAGAACGCAAACGCAACGAACTGAGCAAATTAAAAAACTTACGTAACGTTGGAAATAACGGCATACATCGATTGCGACGGTCATGTCATACAATTTGAACTCTAAGGCCGGCCATATACATATGGAATTCCGTTTCGTGATTCCGTTTCGGAATCCCGAATCGGGATTCCGTGAACACATCACACACACACGTTTTTTTCCGTTCGGAATAACAAGGGCCAGTTGAGAGACGTTAGCCATTGAGTCTAGACATTCTGCCAGCGAATAATGACGACGATTTTCTAATTGCGATTCCACTGTTGCTGTATCATTCTTACTAGGTGCATCCCCTTATCACCCTAAGTTTGCAATATAGTCAATACTATGTAAAAAGATCTATCTATCCAGAGATATTTTTTAAATATTTATGTATGTAAATTCTATCGAGGAATTATTAAATAAAATAAGATGAAAGGTTACGAAAAGCTATACATACATACATACATACATATAATCACGCCTCTTTCCCGTAGGGGTAGGCAGAGACCAGTTCTTTCCACTTGCTACGATCCTTACATACTTGTTTTGCTTCGTCCACTTTCATTATTCCCTTCATACATGCTCTACGGTTTAGGGTACTCTTGACCTGGCCTTTTTTCAAGACGTCCCTGATTTGGTCTAGAAATGTCCGCCTAGGTCTACCCCTTCCAACACTTTCATTCACACTCGCCTTATACACTTTTTTCGTCAATCGTTCTTCATTCATTCTCTCGACATGGCCAAACCATCTCAGCATACCTTTCTCAATTTTTGTCACTACATCTTCTTTCAGACCACAACGTTTCCTTATCTCACTATTTCTTAGCCTGTCACTCAGTTTAACTCCTATCATACTTCTTAATGCTCTCATCTCAACTGCATTTATTCTGCTTTCATGTTTCTTCTGCCATACCCAAGTTTCACTTCCGTACATGAGTGTCGGAACCAACACCCCCTCATGCACAGCCAAACGAGCCTTGTTAGACACCTTCCGACTGCTCATAAAGGAGTGCAAAGCTCCATTCACCATGTTTCCTGCATTCACTCTTCTTTCGATATCACTCTCACACTTTCCATCTCTTGTAAACTTTGAACCCAGATACATAAACTCTTTCACCTGTTCAATTTGTTCATCTTCAATCACAATGTTGCAGTCTGTCACTGCCTCATCTTTTTCAAACACCATCACTTTCGTCTTCCTTACATTCATCTTCATTCCCTTTCTAACAAAAGCTCCACTCATAGCAGTTACCATCTTCTGCAACTCCTCGGCCGAAGACGCAAGTAATACTTGGTCATCAGCATAGAGAAAACATTTCACGAGTAACTCATTCATTCTCAACCTACTTTCATTCTCTTTTAAATCTGTCAAACAATTGTCCATGAACAGATTAAACAGCCACGGTGACGCTACACATCCCTGTCTAACACCTTTTTCGATATTAAACCATTCAGTGTATGCCCCGTTTATCCTTACACAAGCACTAGAATCCCTATAAAGAGATTGCATTGCTCGTATGAGGATACTGCTCACACCGTTCACGGACAGTGCTGACCACAACTCATTCCTCACCACTCTATCATAGGCCTTTTCTAGATCTACGAACGCGCAGTAGACTTTCTTGTTTTTAGCCAAATACTTTTCGGCTATGCACCGCAAGGAAAAGACCTGATCCGTACATCCCATTCCCTTTCTAAATCCCGCTTGTGCATCCCATACTTTCTTGTCTGTTTCACTCACAATCCTTTCAATCAACACTTTTGCATACAATTTACCGACGACGCTGAGAAGGCTTATACCGCGGTAATTTATGCAGTCCTGCCGTGACCCTTTTCCCTTATACAATGGCACGATTACGGCTTTGCACCAGTCTCCCGGTACTTGCCCATTTCGCCAGCACAGATTGAAAAGGTGGTACAGCTGACTAGCCACCAGGCCCTGTCCAGCCCTCAGCATCTCGACGGTAATCCTGTCATACCCTGCAGCCTTACCTAATCTCATACTTTTCAACGCTTTCACTATTTCATCCATGCTTATCTCATTTTCATCAACATTTATATTAGTTTCCGTGGAAGGTGGCAGATGCTGTACCTGCACTTCCTCTCTTTCAAACAAACTTTCAAAATACTCTTTCCATCTCTTTAACACACATTCTTCTCCTTTTATAATGCTTCCATCTTGACTCCTGATTGTACTCAGCTCCGAGGTAGAAGTTTTTCCTCTGGCTGTTTTGATGGTTTTCCAGAAAAACTTAATGTTTGACTGGAAATCGTCAGTGAGCCTCCTATCGAAATCATCCTTTCGTTCTTCTTTCTTTCTAGACACAATTTCTTTCGCTGCTGTTTTCAATCTTTTATACTTCGCTCTTGCTTCCTTTATCTCGTCATCCGTTGCCTTTTGAATTTTTTGGTTAGCTTTTGTTGCTAACCAATCCAACCACGCTTTCTTCTTTTCTTGCACAACCTTTTGTACATCTTTATCCATCCACACGTTACCATTCTTTCTTCCTTTCCTTCTTTTAGCTACCCCGCATACCTCAATAGCAACATTTACGACCCCTTTCTTAAATGTCTCCCACAAATCTTCAATCACTCCTATCTCTTCTATCCCTTTAAAACTTTCTTTCAGTTTCTCTACATACTCGTCTTTCTTTTCTTTTTCTTGTAGATTTTCCACTTTTACTCTGTCCAAAACACTCGTAGGCTCGGCCACTCGGTGTCGCCACCGTTTAAAGAGGCCCCGCATTCGGGCTATGACCAGGAAGTGGTCTGTGTCGAGGCCTACACCGCGGTATGCCCGAGTGTCTAGCACTTTCTTCCTCAGTCTTTCATCCACAATTAGAAAATCAATCATACTTCTAGACTCACCCTCATCTCTTGTATACAAATGGATCTTTTTGTGGTCAAACATTGTGTTGGCCACGCAAAGATTCCATTCCAAGCATAATTCAAGCAGGCTTCTCCCATTGTCATTCACTCTCTCGTCCCCAAACGTACCCAGAACTTCTTCATACCCATCACGCTTTACTCCAACCCATCCATTAAAGTCCCCTAACATCACGATCCGTTCATTTTCTCCGCATTTATTCAAGACCTCTCTCATGCTATCCCAAAATTCCTCTCTCTCTTGTTGTGTTTTTAATGACCCACCTCCACGTAGATCCGTCGGTGCATAGACCCCAAGGATAAACAAGCGAGTGAGTCCGACTTTTAACCTAATCCAGAGGAGTCTTGGGCTTA